TAAAAAATTAAAGAATATATGTTAGATAAACACAATGATTAAGAAAGAATTGAATATTAAAGGAAATAAAATTTACAAAATTAAAACTTACTTAATAAATAATGAGTAATATAAAATATTATAAATTTCAAAAAATCTTGACTTTATATTTAGATATTACGTGTAGCATTACCTGTAAAAATTATTATATAATAAAAAATATTTATTAAAAACATTTTTCAAAATTATTATATTATCTCATTTTTTTTTAATATATATCATAGAATAATATATTATAATTATTATTTGATACAATGAATATAAACATTGAATTTTTTAAAAATGATATAATGATGATAATAGAAATATTTTTCTTTAAATATATAATATCTAAAATCATTTAATTGTGATAGAATTTTTTAATTGTTTGTTTCAACTCATTTGTTACAGTATTGAAATCCTAATTTAGTAACATGATGTCATTTGTCAAGATCATATGCATTTTCAATCAATAATATGATGATTTAAAATGCAATTTTTATTTTTATTTTAAATATTTATTTTTTAATTTATAATTTTTGTTGATTAATATATATTTTTAAAATTTTATACCAAAATGTTTAAATTTCTATGATTCGAGAATAATTTTAATTAAATAGATAAAATAAAAAAATTAAAATTAAAATCAAATATATTTTTATTATATTAGATAAATATATATTTTTCAAAATTTTAATATATATATTATTTATTAAGTGTAATGCATCACATTGTGCAATTTTGTATATTACGAAAATTTTGAAGGATAACATTAAATGTACCTGCGCAAGCGCCATAAATCATGTCATCTTAGAACCAAACACATTCATAATATTGACTAATTTATTTAACATATTATATATAAAGAATTATATTTAATTGAAAAATATATATAAAAAAATAATATATAAATTACTATGTAAATTATTACTTTAACAGATCATTTACTTAATAAAAACTGATCTTTATAAATATCATACCTGAAGTATTCATAACGAACAAGCTTGTTAAAAATTAAAAATTTTATGTATAGAATCAAAATTTAGATTTTATGTAATTATTATTTTTTATATTATTTATAATTACAAATTTTTATTCACATAAAAATTCTTTCGTTTCGTTAAAAAATATTGATCAAATATAATATAATATTGGTACATAGTGATTTTAGAAATAGTATGATATTAATGATATTGTTGGATATATTATAATACTTTAATAAAAAATTTCAGTATTAAAATATATATACGAAATGATTTTAAATGATCTAATTTAAAAGTCACTGAATTATTCACTTTCGATAAGTATAGATAAAATATAACTGTGCACGTTACTGTAGCTTTCACATTAATGTGAAGATTCTGAGCGAAAGGTGTATTTATTGCAAATGAAAACACTTCGTGACGCCTTTAAAAGGTAAGGCAAAAAGCTATCTTGTTTTTCTTCAATATTATTTTTTATTATTACAAAACATATTTTATATTTCAATTAATAAATGATTTTTTTAAATTGTACTTTTTTTTATCGTAATAATTATTATAACTAATTATAATAATTATAGATGATATTATGATGATAATATTTTATTATTTTATTTATTAAATAATATACATATATACATGTCTGTGTATACATATTTTTACTATAATTTCAATTTTTATAATATATTCGATTTATTATATTAAATTATTTTATTAAAATATTTTTGTAAATTATAATTAATATTAACTAATATGAATTAATATTTGTTAATTTATATAATTTTTTTCAGTACATAAATATGTATGATTATAATATTAAAATGATAATCAATTATTTATTTAAAAAAATATTTATGTGAAATATTTATATTTTATAGATTATTAAATATCTATAAATAATATATTAAAATTTGTAGATATTTGATAATATTCTATATAACTTTAGATTTTAGATTTTGATGTTAGATTTATCATTACTATTTATAAATAAATTTCAATTACGATTTTTAAATTATAATTAGTTACATATATCACTTGCGCATGCGTTGAAAATAATGTCTTATAAACTCCGCGCCAAAACTAAAATCTT